ATTTAAAATATCCCTAGGCCAGTCCTGCCAGCTGAAACAGCCATGTCTTGAGGGCGCGGCGGAAGGAGGGGAGATCCGGAATCACCCGGATCTCTGGGGGCAGCTTGTTCCAGAGGGTGGGAGCTCCAACAGAGAAGGCTCTCCCCCTGGGGGTCGCCAACCGGCACTGTCTGGTTGACGGCACCCTGAGGAGACCCTCTCTGTGGGAGCGTATCGGCCGGTGAGAGGTGATCTGTGGCAGAAGGCGGTCTCGGAGGTAGCAGGATAGAAGGATGGATCTAGAGGATTTAATAAGGATAGCAAGAGCTTGGGGGTGGCATAGACACAATTTTCAATTGTGTTTAAATTTAAATTTAAATGTACACCTTTTTAATTGTATTTAATGATAGCTACACTAATCATTTATTGGTGGAAAGGTAAACTTAATTGTTCTAAAATGACTTTGTGGGGTGGACTTATCATTGTGAAAGGCTTACATTGATATATTGGTTTTTGTAATGCACATATGAATTGGCTCCTTTATCAGAGAAGTTTTCACCAAATCACATCACCTCTGTTCTTTTCTTCTCTCTTTTCTCTCAGAGCTCATAACACTTCAGATAATCTCACTAGCTTGACTTAATAAAGTGATAAAATGTTCTGAGTGCAAGTTGCATATTGATCCCAAAATATCATTTTATTACCAGTTCAACTTCACAGACTCTCTGTCATTGGTCTAGCAATGGCCCTAAGTGATCAAGGGAATGGCTATATAAACTATAATAAGAAAAAGAATAGTGATCACATGGGATTTCTACAGCTAAGACCCCTGTAGCTGAACCCAGAAATAGAATGACTAAACACTTTTTAATGAACAGATCAAGAACATTATTTTCTTAAATACATTGAATTGTTTTATTTATTTGTAGAGTTTTTTTCTTAAAATAGATACACTTACTAACAGTGGAAAGTCTTCCCTTCCCTTCCTCTTTTCAGCCTCTTATCTTGTGTTCCATTCCACTTTGTTTATAAGATCTCGATGCTCTTATGGACAAACTTTAGGAATCAGAGGTGTTGGTGGAAGAAGGGAGAGAGAAATAAAACTTTCCTTCCATTAACTTCCTTAAATTGGGATCAATGCTAATAATGTATCCACTTTGAGCTCATCAGTCTAATAAATTTAAATGTACAATATCTTTCCTATAAGTAAGTACATACTAGTGCTTTTCATAGATGTTCTTCCCTTTTAATTTTTTTTATAAAGTTTTCTTGATTTTTTTAAACAGAATTCAATAGTAATCATTCAACAAAAACGTGTTGTCTGAGTATCTTATTTACTACCGTATATACTCGAGTATAAGTCGACCCGAGTATAAGCCGAGGGACCGATTTTCCCACAGAGAACTGGGAAAAATTGGTGACCCGCGCATAAGCCGAGGGGGCATTTTGGCTGTTCCTCCCTGGCCGCCTCGGCCCCCCCGGCCCTGTCAGTGAGCGCCCGGCAGGGCGCAGCGTCGCCAGGCCTCCCCCCTTCG